ACAGAGAATTATTGGTTTCTTCTGGTAAAATTTGAGATGTGAAGTGATATTTTCTTTTACTTGTTTCAGGTGAAACGTTTCAAGAAGATGTTGCTGAAAGCAGACAATGACTCAGTTCCTCATTACACGGTTCCTTCCAGTTCTATTGAGTCACTGCATGATGCTTATAACTCCGGTAATTTATTGGCCCTTTTATTCTTCCACGGCTGTAACATCTTTGGACTTGTCCCACTGATTTACATTCCTCTTCTTTTAAATGCTTCGACACATTAATCCTTTTCTTTTTGGTTCGGGTAGCTGGGTGGTTAAATTGGGGGGAGGGGGATATTTAGGGCCACCTTTTTGGAGGTTAAGTATGGTTTAATGATGCACTTATTATGCACATTAGAGAATTAGAAAGAGGGTTCTTCTCTGGTCTTAACTGAAGTTTTCATTGCTATTAATGCATCAGCCCTGGGAAAACTGAAAGAGACTGTTGAATCAGAAGCATCTCGTAAGAGAAAAACTGGTTTTAAGTTTTCAAAATTGAGCAAGGCGAAGGCAACGTACCATCAGAAGCGGTGATCTATTATAGAACAGTGCAAAAACTTCTTGTTACAAAATTCGTTTTTGTGGATGGAGATGGGCATTCCTTGTCATGAAGACAAAATGTTATGTTCTCATAATCGGGCATCTTAATGACCACTTTTGCTTATAACCTTGTACTCGGCACTAATTACATTTTTAAAGATCCTAATATGGCATCCGAAAGTCGTGTGACCTCTCATACCCTAGGTGCCGAAAACCAGAAATATTATATACAGATCGGGATTTTGGTGCTGATGAATGGAATATCTTGAGAGCTCATTGATGTTCCCAGTGCTGACAAAATTAGGTCATGTTACAGTTATATGGAATATCTTTATACCGAATTGTATTCAAGTTGGTTTCACAGATACATTTTATGTTGTTATGATAGTTGATTTCGCCTGAGAACATGCTTAAATAGTGAAAACTAAAATGTTTATTGTTTAATATATTAGCTGGGTTAGATTATAATTCTTTATTTTATTGTTGTTGGGTTAATAATTATTGATGGGAATCAATAGATTGTAACGGATATTAATAATTCGCTTCTTTTGATTTGGGTAATTGTTCGGTGGTCAACTAGTCAAATGGAGAAATTGGTGATAGGGGAAAGAAAAAACTCTGACCTTTTATTGTTCTTGTGAGAATTTATATACTGATCTCTTGTGTCGATGTAGATCTACTTATCAATCTACAATAAAATTTCATGTTTATTGTCTTGCATCAAAATTAAATACCTTTCACCACCCGTAATCAAATTGAATTTCTCGGAGGAGGATAAAGGGTTTTATTAGTTTATATTCTTTTGGTAATAACTCCAAAACATTAATCAATATGAAATTTTAAGTATAAATTTTAATGAATATACACATTTTTGTCAAACAACAATGTTTAATTCATACCTTTCTTCAAATATTGATTACTAATCGAGGTGCGGTAGAGACCTTTGATTTGAACAGGAAAGTTTTTCAAAAAATTTGTCCGACCGCCATTGTCAAATCAATATACTGTCAAACTTCGGATAAACCAGTTCTGCCTTCTTTGGCTATCTCCACAGGGAAAGGGAAGCAATTTTGGAGCTTTTGATCAATGGAGAAACAATCAACTGACAGATGGCACAAAACTGGTTGGTGCCGGTTGAGCTCAGGAAGTGAAAATTTGGAAGCTATCAATCTCAACAAAATACATATCTGCAAAAATCATCTCATTTTCCATTCAAAATTTGACATATAAAGGATAAAACGATCCCCATCCTTGTATTGCTAGCATGTAATATCATGATACTTTTGCAAATTTATATCAACCGTTAGTGGCGGCACTAGGAGTTAAAAAATTCATTTAGAATCATCGACTACGATCAATCTCTCAATCTATTCCTAACGATGTTAGTATAAATCTTACCTTATGGCTTCACTTTGCGCTCATCTGAAACCAGTGTGCTTCATATTGTAACATCATTGTTCCTTGTTGGGGTTTTCATGTTTTAGCCTTTTCCTTCTTCTTCAGCTCGTTAGAGATGGCGAATTCACGTATTCCGAGGTTCATTATGGAGGTTGCTCCACCACAGTTCATAACTGTGATGAGGCATAAAACAAGAAAGATGATGGACGCTATCACCGAAGAGGATAGAGATGGTACTAGCTACAATGACTCACTTTCTGCTTCTTCCAAGAGCTCAGCGGCAACTAATTCTGTCCCTATGGGTGCAATGGCTGCTGCTGCTGGTTCTTCGCCTCCTGCTACTATTGTGACTGCCAACTCAAAGTATTTTGTGTCCAGTATCGATAATTAGAACGATTTTCTTTTGGTGAACTGAAGATGCAAGTACTCGGTAGTATAACCAATGTTATGATATTGATAAGTTGAGTATGATTGTTTGCATCGATGCTGTAAAGAGTTGGAAATTTTCGTATGAATAAAAACATTGGTTGATAATTAGAATTAATGCTTTGTCGTTTTATTATCTTGAAATCGTGGAGGCTCAGATATTATGTATGAATAAGCTTGAAGAGGCACCATGCCATCAGCACAAAATGAAATCCTAGTCCTTTAGCTTTAATGTTCATACATGACATCCCAGCTGAACTGTTACAGGCACCGCTGTTCATGTCGTTTCTTGCTTACAATTACAATTTGAGAGGAAGGAAAAGGGTTACACAGCAACAACTCTTGATACTACAACCACCCTAGCCAAGGTGTCAACAAACAACAACTCGTCAATACGTACAAGTAGTCTTGATGTTGTTCACAGGAAGAATTTCAATAAGCAAGAGGCACCAATCTACAGTTTCCTTATCATAGGCCGAATTTTCATGGTACTGTTCGGAATGCATAACTTTAATGATTTGTTTGGTAGGAGTATCATTTTCTGGTGTTAATCGATAGATATGTAGGTCCTACCTAGTGGAGCCGTTTGTTCCATTGGCTGCCAGTGTGTTTTTGTTGTGAATGTTTGCCCATGTTTCATTCTCGATGGGATTTGCTAATTTCAGTGTGTACTGTATGGCAGGTGTTTATTTTAGTGTCTGCAGTTTCCATCTTACAGCCAACCGGAGCTTTTGTACGCGAGCGGTGGGGTTGAAGTGCAGCGCTAGGACTTTTGTGTGTGGGCAGGTATGCAAGTCGTAGAAGGGTGATTTTGATGTTTGAGTTTTCGAATTCTGGTTTTCAAGCTGGTAGAAGCTGGCAGTCGTGGTCTGTGTTCACGCTGGCGATGTTTGTAAACCGGCCTGTGCATATTGATTTTGCTTGTGAGTATTACTGTTCCGTTTGACATGGGTGTCGGGTACTATTTTTCCTCTATCTAGGGTAGGGTTAGAGGTTTTTTTTAACGAGGCCTCAACCCTTTTACTGTTTTTAATGGTTGTTCCGCTTTAACAACATACAGAACGACCCTTTTCAATAATAATATCATTTTCTCTTTTAGTATTTTCTTAGCATATTTTAGTACACTCATTTAAATTTAGGACAATTGTTTTGGTGATTTCTTTTTGACAATGTAAAATTATAACCAGAGTTCTTGTGATAAATTTCGATTGTCGGTGGACATCTTTTTGCAAATAACTTTAATCAACTATCATATGTCTTTAATTAACAATGAATTTAAACCGCACATAATACAGTAGATTAAAATCATTTAAAGAAATAACTACATTGTTTATGTATCAAATGATAATTTCATACATAACGGTGAAAAAAAAATATTTCAAATATTTCACAACCGTAATTTTATCAATGTCACATATCCTTTTTCAATATAATTAAAATACACATGACAATTATATAATCATGTTTATAAAATATTGTTTGTATATGAAACAATAATCCTAAAATAAATATGAGAACATTAAATCAAATGAGCAAAGATGTTTAACTGTTTTTTAGGGATTAATGTTGAAATATGACATTTTTCCTTGTATAAACCTATACAAGATGTTATAAATACACTTATATATGCTGGAAATGGTTATTTTCCAGTTACGTAATAATTTAAGGAAACCGCCAAACACTCCAATATCCTTCGATGGCTTCATTTACCAAATAAGGAACATAAATAAAATTTTTGCTTCATTTATCAGATTCTTCTTATTCTAACGCAATTAAGTTGCTCTAATTTTAGAAACTATCACCAATTCTATTTTCCATCAACCTGAAACATTACAACTGTCCTCATACATTTCAAGACGTACGTTACCTGGGTTTAACACTAAACATAGATTAGTCTAACATTGTTAGTTTTTACTAAACACAGATTAACTCCTAATGTAAACTTTATATAACACCAAGCTTTTCACAAATGATCCTCCCCAGGAATTCTCGAGCTTCCTAATCACCTTCGTTTTCTTCCTAAAGCTTATTGTTGTTTGCAGGGAATGGGGAAGCACATCAGATACACACAAACATGGGGTGAGGTGGCACCTCCCCTTCTGATATCTCACCATAGATCCTCGAGTTGTCCGCAATTGGAGACAATCGTAGAAGAGGAAGAATGCGATGGAATACGAGTGCCGAAGAGGATCTACGTTCTTCTTCCTATATTGCTTTCTTTGTCCTTTATGTTTTGTTGTATAATACGCAGTTTCACAGAGCAACCTCGGGGGGAGGGGGATCTGAAGGATGGAGAACTCTAAAAAACTAACTTGTTAAACACTTGATACTCAAATTATTAGTTTCAATTCTTCAAGATTGCATATCCTATATTCTTTTGTTATTATTTGGTTCGAAAAAACCAATTTTCATGGAATCGAATGACATCTTCATGTTATTTATTGGATCATAATCCCCTGCGAAATATTATTTTCAGTTCTATAACAAATCCACTTTGATACTAGTGGTTGAGATTCAGAAACTTTGAGAAACAAAACAGACGGGGAGATATTTCTTTTATAGAAATTCAAAACCAACATCTACAATTCAAAAAGAAAAAGGCTGATTTGCATATATAATAAACGTGGATCACAAATCATAACATGTTATAATATAATAATTTTAGTAGAGCTCTGTTACCTTTTAATAGTATTGTTTTACATGAGATCTCAAAATCTGCACCTACAGCAAAACTGCTGGTTGTAAAATTATGCTTATATTTCTTCAAAACCCTAATCTAGATTTTGATGATAATGTGTGGGGTAAGGCAAAACCAAAAGCCAAACATGTTCAGGTTCGTTACAACTTACAAGCCAGGATGCTGATAAAGTGTTTACCTAAGTCTTAACAATTGACGCCCACATCCTTTGTACCAGGCTCTTCATCCTAATAGGAGAAATTATAGTTCCTTCATTCAGTTTTTCAGCTGCCGCTCCCATTTCATGGACAAATTTTAAAGACTCTGATAGTCGATTGAGTAGATTCATCAGGGCAATCACTTCATTTCGTTGCAACTCCAACTATGAGTCAATAAACTGACCTTTAGACCAAATCAAAACATAAAAACTAGTCGCTAATGGCAACCTAGATATCTCCACAGTACAAAAAACACAAGCAATAAAAGAATAATTACCAACAGCCTATCAACTGCAACAGAAAATGAAGTTAGTTTTTTCTAGTTATTCTTCCACATATTATAAATGACACCATTTTGTAGGTCGGAATTCGTAGAGTTCCAATAGCTTTTAAAGTTCAACGAAAATTCTAGCAAATAGAGTTGGAAAAGGATCCTTGATTTTATCGTGATAAAGTTTTGAGTGTTTAACCATACACTAGAAAAGAATTAAAACTTAAAATCGAAAGTCAAAAGCAGGAAGTACTTACCGTCTGATGCAAGTGCTCTTCACCATTTACAGAGAACAGTATCTTCAACGCAGTTCCAAGGCCAAGAACCTGAAGCTTTCCCCAAAGTCGACATTTCTCACACCCTACACAGTCCATCAACGCACTGCAAAACCAATTCAATTGTCACATCATCCGAATACTTGATTAAACCAGTGGCACAGATATCAAAAGTCAGAAATCAAAGAGAAAGCGGAAACAATCAATTAAAGTTCCTCTGCAAGTGAGGGCTACTAAGAACCTAAAAAGAGTCTATTACAATTTCAGATTTCATTTCCTCTTGAGAATGTTAAGTTCAAAAGAATTCAGGCATGTCTTAATATGCCAATTACAAGTATGATTTTAAGTAAATATAGTTTCTAATTTTATATGTTCAAAAGCATAATGTAGAAATAATAAATTGCAGCTTTTTAAATGCATCAGCAACTAGGAAATTAGAGAAACCTGATATTTTTGAACTGAGCTTGTATTTTCTGTTTCAGCTCAGGTCCTCTTTGTCCTTTCCATAGTCTAGCTTCATCGAAAGGAAGTGGGCATGCAGCTTGCAATTTTGGGTTATAAAGTAGCTGTCTCATTAGGGACTGAGTTTTCAGGTCCTCAGTTGGATTACCAGTATTGTATTCAGCTTGTTCCAAGTAATCAGTTGCCTGTGACGCATCAAGCAAGCTCTAGTAAAGTAACTGACTCCAGAATAAATAAATACTTGAAAAGTAAATGTAGATTTATCACGTACTTGTACTCATGCTACTTACCTTTGTCACAGCTCGGAGAACAAAGAGGAATGTGAAGTACAAGTTTTGCAGACGATTTGGATATTTTAAAACTCGGTTATACAGTAAGTCAAGATTATGGCCCCACTGAAATAGGGAAATAAAAAAAATGTTATATATATAGAACTATTATGCACCTACAAACAAAAATACACAAAATTGATAATATATACCAAGTTTTTGGCTTCATCAAGTAGATAATCAGAAGCTATATGGATTGTAATAGATGAGTGAAGACCAGAAATCAATTTGTACAATAATTTTTCTTCTTGGCATAATTCTTCAGCTGGATCTGCAAAACAGAGTAAAAATGGAAAAGAGAATTTTTTTTGTGTGAAGAAAAAAAAAGATGACTCAACAGTATATTATCTTCCAATAAGGAAAATTGTAACGAAGTGGACCTGCTAGAACATAAATCATGCCAATCAATCACTTCTCCGAGAATATTTGTGTGCATGTTTGTTTGTGGGTGAGAAAGAGAGATGGTAACTTTGGACATTATATGGTTACACAACATGAATGAAACATGAAAAAGGTCATCTAAAACACGACGTAACATGAATATGAGCACAAATATAGCAAAATCTATATTGCACAAATTATAAAATATGTAAATTTCATATAAATATATAATACCTTAAACGCAAACATGACATGAATATATAAATTGTCATATATATTGAATAGGAAGGATGGAAGTCCAAAGCCAGAAACACCAGTATTATTAAACACCAGTATTATTAGGCCAACCTGGTTTCAAATATTTTAACACTAATAGACTATGTATCAGGTTCTGACCAGGAGAAAAAACTCACTGCAAGCTCCTTATGCTAAAAGGGTCTAGTGAACAAGTCATAAGGAGGAATTCAGTAACCAATTAATAAAAGAATATTTGTTATTTCTCAAAAATAAAAATTTTAAGGGGTAAGGGCCTAATGCCTTCATATGTAATTAAAAAATCCTTTGGCATATCCTTCATGCACACACGTAAAGAAAAAACAGGTGAGAACTCACATTTGGGACAGTTCTCCGAGTAGACAGCATCCCATATCCTTCTAGCTGATGGACCAGTATAGCCAGTGTAGCGCTCCAGGTTCAGTTGAAGGTTCACATATGTCATCTCAGCTACAAAATCAAATTGTACAATGATTGACGATCAATTTTTTGAAATACATTAAAACATCACCATTCTCACAGCAAGTCTTTGTGTAACAAGCATTTCCAAGAAACTAGGACAGCAGCACTGAAACTTAACTGAATATGAAGCATCAATTTAGCTATATCAATCCCAAAGACAAACGCAATGAGCTTGAGAGCATTCAACACATAAAAACGGGCAAAAGAAACTGAAAATGTCAGAGCTGTTGAGAAAAAGATCAGACTCACAATTATCAGTCTCGTCATCATATGTCCATGGGTTATCTGTTTCTGTCCCAACCTCTGAAAGCTTTACTATCTAGCGTGCGGTCAACAGTGGCCTCTGGTTTTCCTTCTTGGCACTTAAGGTCATCTGATGGAAGGCCATGATGGTAGGGCTTCTTAAATGATTCAGGGAATTCACTTTCTGGACATTCACAAACACTACAATCCCGCAAACGGCACATACCATCATCAGGCCAAAATGGACAGTTACACCACAATTTAACCTGCCCAAGGCAACAAAAAAGGAAAACTAGGCTTCAGCGAAAATCAAGTAAGGGACCTATCCTATAGGATCAATTTCAAATACATCATATAAACAAACCTTACCGTCCTAAGAAAAAAATAAAATACAAGGTTCCAGACGGAGCAATATATTCTCATGCCTAAAGTTGTTCCACTTAAGCATCATAGTAATTAGACTTCTGAATGACTTAAACTGGTGTGCGTTTTCATTTTATAAACATGTTTGACTTCAAAACTTGCATAAATCTTAGGATCACTTTCTTTTAACTCCAAAATTACAGTAAGTATGAGCATTGTATTGAAAACAATATCAGACAAAATACTAATTAATGAACAGAAGGTTATGGCTGCTAAACTGGCTATTTCATTTATCTGGTGGTTTCCTGCAATTAACTGTAATACATAACCATTTATAATGAAAAGATTTCAGGTCTCCACATCAACATTGTGAAAATTAATCCTAGAATAATATACTAAAATATTCACATAATATTTCCATCATGCAATGGGCATCGAGCATTAAGCTAACCTTGAAGTACCGAAAAAATGGGATTTTAACAAGTTCCTGTAGTAATGGATGTAATACTTCCTCATTAAGATGGTCAACTGTCTCATAATCACAACAACAATCCTCTACAATCCCGCTATACCTGTGTTCCTGCAAAAATTGAAGAAGATAGTCATTTCCATAAAAACAGAAGGTCAAATATTTCATCATCATCCTAAAATAGAAACGGGGGGTTCAAGAGAAGCAAACATTTTCAAAGAATTCAATTACAATTCAAGATTCTACTACTTTCATAGTACCCAAAAAAAAACGAGACAAATCGCACCGTTACCAATTAATTCATCTAAATACTGCTGAGAAGAAGAAGAAGAAAGCCCTTGCAAACCAAAGGATAAGATCAGCAGAATACGGAAATTGGTAGTTGAATTTGTCGCCAATTTGATAAAAAGTGAAGTAAAAAAAAATTATTTTTTCCATTTCATTACAACCATATCTTTCCATTTCAAGAAATGATGAAGAGTGGAAAGAGAGAGGAAGTGAAACCTGTGGGCAATGACAAGAAGATTTGCTAATAATGTGTCCAAATTTAAAAGAGATCATTGGTGTACTTCTTGAAGCCAAAGCAATAACAATGAGAATTGTAGTGAAAGCTCCGATCACCCATCTCCACTTCATTTTATCGCCTTTTCTTGCTCTTCTTGATCTCTGATTCCACCATATACCACCTTTTACACACAGTAAAAAGAGACCCAGAATCCCAGACTACCCGAACTCCGAAACCCCTTGTTCTATGTGCTGCAATTGAAAAGAAAACGAGAAAAAGATGGCAACAATACTAATTTCCAAGAATATAATAGTAATGGAGGCGATCGAAATTTAGTGTTTTTCTGAGTGTGTTATTTCTCGATAGATTTTGGGGTTAGAAAGCGAAAATCTCGGATTCCAAAGGGGATCAAGAAGTAGAGAGACACGATCTAAGAAAATCTTAGAGCTTTGGCTTCTGCATTTATTTCTCAGTTTCTCCGCGTCGGTTTCAAACCATGGGAACACAGAGAAGATATATGGTGTGTGAAGGTGCACCTAAATTTTTTATTTAATTTTTTTAATTAAATTAAAACATGTAACTGATTTAAATATCTAATGTTATTTAATTTTTATTCTAGACTTTATAATTTTTTTGACAAATAGACTTCATAAAAATTGTATGACATCCAATGTATTAAAATAATATTAACATTCATATATTATACAAATTAGTAATATGGATATACATGTGTGTAAAAATTACATAGTTGTGCAAAACACAAAACTTGTAATTACTAATAATATGTTATATATATAAAATGAAAATAAAATATTTAAATTATGATTTACAAACTTTTAGAAGAAAAAAAAACATATGATAAAAATATTGAATGCAATTCAATTGTTTTTCAGTCTGTATTGGTATATATATATATATACGTAGGTTCAAAGTCTTATTCGAGTTAAAAACATTGGGCTTACTAATGGGCTGCTTTATCACTTATTTTTATTTATTTATTTCCTTCTTGTTACATCTCCTAGGTATCATTTCTACTCAACATTTTGGATAACTATCAGTTCCAATTTCACCATCTGTTAAAATAGACTTCTTAAATTACTTAATTTTCGTATCTCAAATAAGAAAGGAAACCGTATTGTAGCATCATATGTACCGTCGGGTATAGCAATCAAAGTGTCAGACAAAGTTTGACATGCAGTCAATGAGGAGAAAATTAACCAACTTGACAAATATCTAGGGGCCACCATGATTCTGTTCTGTCTCAGGAAATGAGAAAACCATGCTCTACTCTCGATGCATTATACATCCATGGTTTACTACTCTTGATGTACTTTGAATCTGAATATTAGAGAGGGAAATGGTTGGTAATTTCACAATGTAATCATTTTCTTGATGTTGCCCTTGTCTCCTTCTGCTCCATCTTCGCCATTAAAACATACTAAATAATTACTATGACGAATTTCATTACTTTTATTTTTAATGCAAATGATAATAGACTAATAGTTCATCACTACACACTACGTACTCAAAGACAGTCAAAGCTTTCCCTTATTATGGACAATCTCTGCAGCAGAGATTCATCTCTTCGACCATCATCTGGATAGTGCCAAATCCTAGCATGCTGAATTAATAATGGTATTTTACATTACAATTTGCTTTAATTAGAGAGGGAAACTTACGAGAGTAAGGAATGGACTGCAAAAGAAAGAAAAAAGAAATCACACAACTTTTATTTCACGCCATCTGACTTCCACTGACAACCTAGATAACCGAGAGAGAATGAGATTTGTTTGAAGAATTACCGTTTGATTAATAATCCATCATTTTCCTGGGGAAATACCGTCACTCAACCAAGGGTATTCATGCCTGGATGCATGCATCCCGCACTACAATTCATTCTAAGCAATATTCCAGATGGATCTTTCTACCTTCTTCTTTTTTTCTCTCTTCTTTATATCCATCGCCGGCGATCGCTTTATCATATATTCCGCGAGTTCGATTTTTTTTTGTCAATTTGTAAACAATAAAGAATAGTAGTTGAATATTACTTCTTTCTTGGATCAATGCTGATCACATAACAAACTAATGAAATGGACTTCTATGAAGGAGCATTTAGGTAGTAAACAGCAGTAAGTAAATACGTCTGATTAAGATGAGAAAATATGTAATTTAATGCTCAGGACAAAGAAGTTGACAGGCAAGAAATAAGCTCAGCTCACAGTGGCGTCACCCCGTACTCTGCAGGGAAACCCTAGCTAACTAGTTATTGTTGAAAGAGAAAGGTTATATACATTGAAAACCCTTCCATTTTAATTGAAAAAGGAAAAAAAACAAAGAGTGAAGAGACTGCAAATCATGATATTCATATATAAATATGATAAATATAAACATAACGGTTAATTCATGTAATAATTAAGAGTTAGCCAGGCCTAGCTAGAATAGAATATTCATGTAAACTGTCATGAAACATAGGAGTATTAAAAACGAGAGAATCAGAGCCAAAGTCCACCAGCTTCTTTGAGGAGTGGGACTAGTGTGCCGTTGATGTGGCAAGCCATCAGTGTTTCAATGCCACCAAGGAACTTCCCACCAACAAACACCGCAGGGACAGGCTGTCGACCATCGGCCACGAGCTGAAAGAGGACTGCTTGGATGTCCGGACCGGCTCCATGGTGATCGAGCTCGATGATGGTGGGACCAACTCCGAGCCCAAAGAGAAGGCGTTTAGCCACGGTGCACATGCAACACCCGCTCAAGCTGAACAAAACTACAGCGTTGGTGGAAGCCAGCTGCCTCACTATCTTGTATGGATTGTCAAGAATCGTCGTCGTGGCTGGTGCCTCGGTTTCTATCCCTATGATGTTTGCCATCTGAATCCCAGTTTTCTTCGTCGTCACCTGCATTTTGAGTTTGATTGCAACAACAAAATATAATACCAGAACAAGAAGAAAAACGTGATGAAACTTTTAATGGGGAATGAAAGTAAAGAGTTTTATAAAAGGTTGAAGGAAGGAAGGGGGTGAGAAATAAAGGGCCTTTTGTAGGTATATATATTGATTGTGGCAGAGACAGAAAAGAGAAAACGAAACAATGACAATTAACTCTGATCACTTTTAGGCTCTGTGTATACTGCATATATAATAGTAACTACTATTGAAAAGGTGATTTCCGGGAAAAATAAATATTTTTCTTATGAATAAAAAATTAAACATTCTACAATATTACTATCGGTGCAAGAACATTAGTGATAATTTTTATAGAACCAAGAAAGTAATACCTAGAGAGATGATCGAAGATGTGAAAAGAGAAAACCTGAGAACACTGAAATTGAGTAGGTATGCCCGGCAAAACCTGACGCGGGAGGGCTTAAGCTCTGCCAATTTCCTTTTTTTTTTAATCTTGGAAGGTGTGTACGAAGAGCTCCTCTAGTCATCCAACTTTAGAGGCATGCATTCTTCGACATACAGAGACAATTGCAATACATATAGAGAAAGAGAGAGAAAGTATCACACTTGATATTTTGTTTTTCTTCAAAAATAAAGTCTCTGAAATGTTTCCAAAGTAACATCCTACAGCAGTCGAACAAAGAAGAAGATGTATATATAGAATTAGCGTGAATTTGTATGAGGTGGTAGTGGGCCCTTTATATAAGAAACAGTACCAAAATATCCCAACAGAAAAAGGATTCTCCTTCACGCCAATTTCAGACTCTCCAGCTCCACCAAAACAAATCAACACTCTTTTAATATAAGCTCATGGTTTTTTAAGTGTTTTTCTTTTCTTCTTTTTAAACGCGTGTCTTCTTCTACCGGGTACTGGAACGTGTTTTTTCTCTCTTAAATTTTAATGGGACGACATAAGAAGGGAAGTGTTTGAACTTTACAAGGATGAAAAAGGGAAACCGACAGGCCGACAAGGAACGACTGAAACGCCGTCGTAGTTAGGGTATTACGCCGCTTTCTTTATTGTGCAATGGCAGCTGCGGGAGGAGGGTTGGTCCTTTGCTTACAGTGACGCCGTCAGATTATGCCTGTCTGTTTTTTTAACATCATCATCCCTACGGCTCTGATTCGCTACCCCTACCTCTTGTCCTGCCTTTCGAATCCCATTTTTCAATTTATAGCAACATGTAATTCTAGCTTTACTTTTCTTTTAACCGCATAAAACTTTGTATACTATTTTTTATTGCATGTCTCAATTTATGCGTATCATTCTTGCGCAGGAGTCATATTAATATTTTCTGTATCATTCCAATTTTATCGGATGCTTATATCAGAAATAATATTTTGTTTGTTTTTCAAACTTTACAAAAACAATAAAGAGTATGCAATATGATAATAAAAACAGATGTATCTAAATAGATTCATCTCTTGATTTATTGTTATATAGTCAATTAAGTTTATAATATAGTAATAAATAAATTTTAGGGTAAATTATAAAATTTATCACCGAACTTTATTCTCTCTCCTATTTTGCTCACTAATCTTTAAAGTTTTCAATTTTCTCATTGAAATTAATATATTTGAATTTTTTGGTTCCTCTGTCCTTAAATAGTTAAAGGCGTTAAAACGACACCGTTTATAAAATATAAAATTTTCACCAAAACGACGTCGTTTTGCATCTATATAACAGTATATTTGTAACATCGTTAGTGAGAAACAACTAACTGACCAAAAAAATACTCAATGTATTAAGTTCAGCAAGAAAATTAAAAAGATTTAAAGTGCAGTGGGTGAAATAGGATAGAGAACAAAGTTCAGTTACAAAATTTGTAATTTACACTAAATTTTATGGAAATAATATTCTGAATTGACATTGGTTTTTAAATCTCGTACCACCTTAAATGGAAGAAAAAAAAAAGTTACCGAAAAATTGGCATTAAACAAGCTTTCAAAGTCTGAACATTATAACATGAATGATGTGTAGAGCTTACTCTTACACTTACAGAACCGATAGGGAACTTGTTGGACATTCATAATATTTGGTGTCATATATGTGGTGGCTTTACTCTTTGCTCTTAACTATGTGCCGGGACACAAAAGGGCTGTCTATTGAGAAGATGTTGGAGGGTAGAGCTTTGAATTTCAAGTTCTGGGAGAAAAGTTAACAAACTGCAAGAAGATAACCAAGCAGTGTGAAACAAATAATTGAACATTGCATGGAGCATGAGCTTGAATTAGACTGATGATCAAAGCTGGTTTTTTTCTCTACAAAATCTCCCTACACGGGACTCGATGCATGAAAATTAATCTGTGAGGAAACCTCAACACATGTTAGGCACCAAGCTTTTTTATGGCATTTCTAATTATAAAAAAAACTTAATAGAGTTAATTGGCAAGTACTTCTCGTTATAATTTCTTTCGTTTCTACAAAGAAACTCTTGTGAGGATTTCCTAATCATTCAACCAGGTGAAAACAGCACGAGACCATGAATGCAACTTTGTCTGATCAGATATGTTGCATTCCCATTGAAAATCAGGCAAACAGCTACACATCGTTGCTCAGGATGGTGATAAGTGTTCAGTTTCCATCAAGACTCTACGATCGGAAAAGGGAAAAAACGACAGATTCATCTTGCCTCTTTCTGTATTTTTCTGTTTTCGGGACAACATAAAAACATCTAAATGCTAGGGCAGCTAAAAAACTCAAATGTTTGGCGGGGACTTGATCCATGCTTCAGGCAATGTGCTCTGCCAAAGTGAGGATCTTGACATGCTTTTTCTGCCTCAGCTCATGTGGGACTGGGCCGAAAACTCTGGTCCCTATCGGCTGGCCTTGCTTGTCAACAAGAACAACAGCATTGTCATCAAACTTGACCTCACTCCCGTCACAACGACCTCGCTGCATGGCAGCACGCACAACCACACCATATACCACCTTCCCTTTCTTCACCTTTCCATTAGGCATGGCCTCTTTTACAGATGCAATTATGGTGTCTCCCAATCTTGCCCCTTTCTTCCCCTTCAATGGTTGTATGCACATCACCTTTTTTGCCCCGGAGTTGTCCACTACTTTGAGAACAGTTCTCATCTGTATAAAAGTCCTTTGTTGCTGCAAAATGAAATGAAATAATAAGGTTAACTTTGGAAGAGAATATCACAAAGGCAATCATCATAGAACCATATGAATATTGTCTGGACTTAGACCATACGCTTACAACATCAAACATTGAACAAAATCAGATCACTGACATCAAGCCGCAGGGCAATCCTATTCAAATAAGCTATGTGGATCCTAACACACGACTCGTAATATAGCTTTCATTAACAATAGGTTCAACTCCTGTCAACACACTTATTTTAGTACTTCAGGCCGTCATCTCATCGGGCCCATATGCATGTCTTTCAAAAGATGACTCAAGGGATCTTAACATCTTTGATGCTTAAACAACAAGAAAAAGTAGGGGAAAGTTCAGCCCAACATTGATGCTGATTAACAATGCCATCTCCTTGAACCATTTTTTGGTTAATAAAGGCTTGAATTTTTTATCCCATAAAAAACAACGTCATGACCAACCTTTTCAAACTTGTTTCCATGTGGCTAGTCTATTCCCAGAGGTTTGGGGAGCTTATCTGATTTGCCAAGGATAATATATAATCTAGAATGAACACCAGCATGCACTCCATGTGAATGATTTCAGTTCACAAATTGTAAATTTGTAATACAAGCTTAAAAGAAACATCATGCTGACCTGATACAGGAAACTTCCACATATCATCTCTCTTGATGTGCTTGGTAAATTAGAGAAGTTGTTTTGAAGGCCATCCATCAACGAGCGGCCCACTGCATATACCGTACAGTCAAATAAAAGCTAGAGAAACAAGACAAGATACAAAATGAACTGTGTCAATGGAGATGGAGGTGTTTAAATCTTATGATACAACAACTTAACTACATCAATTGTAGGAGTAACAAAACCATTCCATTTCTGTGGATGGATAGATAACAAGCGTTAAGAAGCTAACTGATGGATCCCAGCAGTTATCTAGAAGATGAAAACAAGGGGAAAAAAATACGGCATGATAGTATAGACAAGGCCAGAATTCACAAACAATTCGACTGAAAATCCCACAGAAAGAGATTTCTTAGTTGTGAAACCTATAACAAGAGGTTTCTTAAAGCTATGCCCATCAAATGAAGCATAAGTGGCTTAAAGAATCAAAAAACAGTGGAAAAAGTTCCAAACATAAAATTGCAGATAAAATGCTAATGAATCACCAAGTGACTTCCAGATAGACATGAGTGATAACTCACACTACAGAGACTAGCTAAGCTTCACTAAGTCCCACTAAGCCTCATCCTGACTTGATCCTTCACTTATGTTGACCTAAACTTATAGCTACCTAAAGGGATTTTTTATATGTATCAACCAAAGGAAATCGTTGCAATTAAAACTAAAACGTCATGCATATGGATATATGTTGGATCGGAATGCTTTGTATGCGATTCCTAGAAGTGTTCATAATCTGCAAATGCCCATTAACAGAAATAAGGGAAAATGAAAACCCCTAAAAAAACTAACAAATTCCAATGTCAAGAAAATCAAAATGACATACCCCTAAAGCATCTGGAAGCAAAGCTTGCAGCCATCTTCTTAATTCCCCAACCTTCACAAAGCAAAAAGGAAAATGAAAAAGTTAGAACCCTAGGAACTTGGGACTTGAGAGAATGAGGAAGCTATTGGGTTTGGGCTCAATCTAAAGTAAGCGTAGCCCAACGCATTATATACACTTCAAACAGAAGTATTTTAATGATTCTCTCAAATGAAACCAACCAATGGTTTATATCTTTTAATACAAGAATTAAATTATCGACATGATATTTTGGTTTTATATTTTATATTTATGATTAGAGTCAATATTATCTCTCCTAATAATATCATTTCACAATTCGAACATCGAGAATGCAATACATCCTATCGTTACACCCCAACAATATTTATTTTTATACTTTTATATATTATTTTAAGAAAACAACTCAAAACTACCACTTAAAGATGGTTAGAAAAAATGGGGGAACTTTCAAACTATACTAAGTTAAACAATGATAGTTTTGATGCGAAATATAACATATGAAACATGTTCACATAGCTCTCTTTGACTCTCACTCTTACTTTAGATTCTTAAGCTACAAGTATGTTGGATTAGTTATCTCTCAACCTAAAATATCGTTCACGTTTAACGCTACTTTGGTTTCAACTTTTCATTGATATGGACCATTTTTTGTACTGAATAGGGAATTAATATTATAAAGATAATTTTTTTTTTGCCCTTATGGTTCCAAGGTTTCACCTTGACTAATCCAAACCAACTCGCATTGCACATCTTGTTTTGTTATGTGAGTTTTCCGGTAGAGATTTTATGCATATAAAATGACTCAAACCCGAAACCTTATTTAATCAATATCAAGCTGTTTACCACTTGAATCAACCCTTGTTGTTTATAAAACTTAAATTTTTGAATTAATAAATGAATAAAGTGAGAATTGATAATTTATCTTATTATAACGGGTTAAAGAGTCCGAAAAGATAATTGTTATAATGAGGTCTGCAGAAAAAAATAGAAGAAGAAATTAGAAACCCCCTCTTTGTTGGAGATGAGGTTTTATAGAGGAAGATGACAGTAAGAAACATTTTTAAAGTAAGAAAATTCTTAACCAAATATTAGTCAAGAATTGTTAATTACGAAAATAATAGTATAATTAATGATTAAATTTAAAAATAAATTATTTTTACCTTTTTCAACAAATGCTTGGATACAAAATTAAAAGTATGGTCCTAATTTATTATTATATATATTTTTTATTATAATGATGGTTAAGTAATATAATAAACAATAAAGGATATTTTAATTTAAAAGTTTTTTAAATTCATATTCTGTTTGTTTTAAATGCTCTCAATCATTTGATAATGAATGTCTAATGTGCTCGAACCCATGACCTCTAAGAACAACAACTTCTTATATAAATATTTTACAAGTTAAAAGAGAATTTTATTATTCTTAAAAGTTATAGTTTCGAATAAGTACCTACTACAATCACCCCATAGTATTTACAAAGTAACAAAAGAAAAAAGGACTAATCTGAGTACGAAACCAACAATAAATAGAAGTGAAATCATTGATTTCATCCCATGGATGGCTGAAAAACTTGATGAGAAGGTGAAACCCCTGAACTGAAAGGGAGGCCATGACACTTGCAATGGAGTGGAAAGTGGAAAAGAGAGACAGAGACTCATCCAATTCAATAATACAAAATGGAGTAAAAAAATCCAATCTGTTATCGTTTTCAGCTTCTGGCATGGATACTTGATAGATTGCACGCCCTCCTTCTTTCCCCTTATCATTCTCAATTAATATATGGAATAGTATTTTGAAAAAAATTGGAATTTTATTTTTAAAGATTTTAAAATTCTAAAAAAATTAATCTAAATATTAGAGAGTAGAGGGTGATTAGATTCAGGTTTGGCTTCTTTTTAACCGGCAAGTGATTCAACATTGGATAGCGAGAACACGACCTGGGGGTATGATTGTTTGTTTGCATCTAAATATTAATATATAATATCTTGTTGGTTTGGGGTTTAAATTAATTTAATACAAAATTATGAAATCCAACACCAAAGCATGTGCTGGTTCCACTGCGGCCTTTACATTATCTTTTTATATGGGTTCATACTGAGTGCAGAAATAATGGAGGTCATCATCTTTGCTAAATGCTTTTACTTTTACTTGTTGGATTCATTGGAAACAATTATATAATAATTGCATTCACTTTCAACTTATTGGTGGTGCTCAGATTATAGATGGTCTCCAATGGCCACGGTGCTGCTATTTTGGTTGCCAGCGAAGAGACAATGTTATTCATAATAATAAAGTTGCCAGAAAATTGAACAGTGATGTACAATATTGTTATTTATTAAAAAAAGAGAGTACAAGTGTTGTTTTCAATTCATGTGATGGTTGCAATTAATCTATTGAAGCAATTACTACTTACCAGGCTTCTGCTTTGAAACCAGCCAACCAGGTAGTAATAATAGGAATGGTTATTTGGTATCAAATGATTTCTGGAGAACTATATTTACAGTAAAAAGAAAGAAAAGAGACATCTTTACGTACCATAATTGATTATCAACCCCACCCCAAAGATTTTTTATTGGTGAAAACAACCCATTGAATTCAGGTAGAGAATATAATTTAATTGGAGAGATCATTGAAGTAACAAAAATGACTGACGTGCTGCTCAACTTAATCATATAATTCAAGAAATATTTATTATCTACATGCTAGTTTTATGAACTCCATATATGATGAATTATAAGATTATTTCATTGACATTTCTTGAAAAGAATCTTTAAATTTTGATAAATATTTCCTGTATTGACAGTATATGTCTACGCATTGTTATAAATAAATTAGACGGTTTATTTTTCTTTAAATATAAAGTTGTTGTTGGTTGATTTTGTTGAAAGTCAAAACAGCAAATTAGAAGCATTAATAGGGTGGTAGCCAGCGGATAATTAAATTCAATGTTGGCTGCAACTTTGGTTGAAATTGGTAAGGGCAAATTACAAACTTTAGTCACTAAAATTTAGGGTATTTACAAATTAGTCCTTAAGTTTCAACTATAAATACTCTAGTTTATTTAGCTTCAAAACTATCCCAAAGCATTATAGCTTTCTTCCAATACTAGAGAGAATTTAGAGAGTTTCTTGAGAGTTGTTTTCTCCTTTTTATCAAGAGAGAATTATCATTGTTTTCTCCTTGGTAGATCGAGAGAAGTTGTAATTCCTATTTTCTCATAGTGAAATTCTTCTACCGTTTCTCGTGGATTTTACCCTATTTTATTTAGGGGTTTTCCACGTAAATTTTGTGTCTCTTTTTATCTTCATTTTTATTTTCTCAAATTATCAGTTACGATTTTACTCTATCTGATAGCCGTCTTCCGCAACAATTGGTATCAGAGCTAGATTAGAGTGTGTAATATCTGCTTATTGTCTTTGTGGTTGCCACCAAAAGGTGGATCCTCCAACATAAGAAAGTAAGAAGTTATTACCCATTCTTTGAAGGTTCCAGAGAACTATTCACGATAGTGAAATAGTGGGAGCTATCCGTAAAAGAAGCTATGACAACGAAATTTGATATTGAAAAGTTCAATGGGAGAAATTTCTCATTGTGGAAATTAAAGATGAAGGTCATCCTGAGGAAAGACGGGTGTCTAGCGGCTATCAGTGAAAGGCCGGTGGATTTTACAGATGACAGCAAATGGATCGAAATAGATGGAAATGCTATGGCAAACTTTCATCTAGCATTAGCAGATGAAGTATTGTCAAGCATCGAGGAGAAAAAGACAGCTAAGGAGATATGGGATCATCTCACCAAATTGTACGAGGCTACATCGCTGCACAATAAAATTTTCCTTAAGAGAAAATTGTACACTCTCCGTATGCCAGATTCTACTTCAGTGACAGAGCACTTAAATACGTTGAACACTTTATTTTCTCAGCTTACATCCTTAAGCTATAAAATAGGAGAACAAGAACGTGCAGAACTTCTACTTCAAAGTCTACCAGATTCATATGATCAACTCATCATCAACTTGACAAACAGTAAGTCTAGTCTTCGATGATGTTGCAGCTGCTGTTCTACAAGAAGAAAATCGGCGCAAGAACAAGGAAGACAGACAAGTAAATATGCAACAAGCAGAAGCGTTGACAATGATGACAACGATGAGAGGGAGATTAACAGAACGTGGCCAAAGCAGCAGTCACAAACATGGTAGATCGAAGTCGAGAAGCAAGAAGAATTTAAAGTGTTACAACTGTGGAAAGAAGGGTCACTTGAAGAAGGATTGTTGGAGTCTAAATAAAAACTCCAATCCACAAGGCAATACCGCAAACACTTCAGATGATGGAGATGCTCTATGATGTGAAGCGTCAACCACCGTGGAAGGAAGAAAACGATTTGCATATATATGGCTCATTGATTCGGGAGCAACATATCACATGACCTCAAGAAGAGAATGGTTCCATCATTATGAACCTGTCTCAGGAGGATCTGTTTATAGTTGCAATGATCATGCCTTAGAGATCGTTGGCGTGGGAACTATCAAATTGAAGATGTATGACGGAACAATTAAAGTTGTTTGAGATGTACGGCACGTGAAAGGCCTGAAGAAAAATTTATTATCCTACGGATTGTTGGATAATAATGCAAGCAAGATTGAAACACGGAAATGAATCATGAAAGTGTTCCGTGGAGCGCTTGTGGTACTGAAAGGTGAAAAAATAGCTGCAAACTTGTACATGCTGAAGGGAGAGACTTTGGTAGAATCAGAAGCCTCTGTTGCCTCATGTAGTTCAGATTCGGCAATGCTATGGCATCAGAAACTTGGACACATATCAGAACAAGGAATGAAAGTCCTTGTAGAGCAAAAGCTACTTCCAGGCTTAACAAAGGTATCACTTCCTTTGTGTGAGCATTGCATAACAAGTAAGCAGCACCGGTTGAAATTCAATACATCAAATTCTAGAGGCAAAAGTGTTCTAGAATTGGTTCACTCTAATGTATGGCAAACACCAGTAACGTCCCTATGTGGAGCAAAATACTTTGTCTCATTTATTGATGACTACTCCAGGAGATGTTGGGTGCACCCTATTAAGAAGAAGTTAGACGTGTTTTCAACTTTCAAAAACTTCAAAGCGCGGGTGGAACTTGATTCTGGAAATAAGATCAAGTGTTTTAGAACAAATAATGGAGGAGAAT